TTTCACGTTTATAGTCCGTAGACTCTCGCCATACTTTCAATTTCTCGTCACTACCAATGGCGCCAACGACTAGCCGCCCCTAACCGCACGCTCCCCGGAAGAACATGTGATCAAAGACAACTAACCGCTAAACAGCCATTTTCCGTTCACACTTATCGGTCAAGTCAACACTTGGCCCATTTCATCGCATTCAACGTTTATAGTCCGTAGACTCTCGCCATACTTCCAGTTTTTTGGTCAAGTCAACACTTGGCCCATTTCATCGCATTTCACGTTTATAGTCCGTAGACTCTCGCCATACTTTCAATTTCTCGTCACTACCAATGGCGCCAACGACTAGCCGCCCCTAACCGCACGCTCCCCGGAAGAACATGTGATCAAAGACAACTNGGTCAAGTCAACACTTGGCCCATTTCATCGCATTTCACGTTTATAGTCCGTAGACTCTCGCCATACTTTCAATTTCTCGTCACTACCAATGGCGCCAACGACTAGCCGCCCCTAACCGCACGCTCCCCGGAAGAACATGTGATCAAAGACAACTAACCGTTAAACTCGCCATACTTCCAATTTCTCGTCACTACCAATGGCGCCAACGACTTGCCGCCTCTAACCGCACGTTCCCCGGCAGAACATGTGATCAAAGGCAACTAACCGCTAAACAGCCATTTTCCGCCACAAGTTTACGGTCAAGTCAACACTTGGCCCCTTTAATCGCTTTTAACGTTTATAGTCAGTAGACTCTCGCCCAACTTTTAATTTTTCGCTACAACTTTCCGGTCAAGTCAATACTTGGCCCCTTTCATCGCAAACCACGGCATATGTCTGAGTGCACCACCATTGACCCGATCGATACATTTAAAAGAGTATTTTGTCGCTTCGCTTGTTACCCACCGTTCCCCACCATCGCATAAGCGAATCACATTTTTCAGAAGGCATTACCATCCACTTAGAGCCGAATAGGAACTGTGCCACAGCCCATATGATTGGCGTACCGACTGAAAAATTTATGAGACGACAGGAGTCTACAATCAGTATTCTCATTACAGGTAAGCACCGCTTGAAATACAAATTTATATGGGCTTCAATACGATTCAATGCTTTTCAATACAGACCATATGCTATACAATGCTTTTCAATACAATCCAATGGTTTTCAATGTAATCCAATACAACCATATTTTCGAGACCTCATGTCTCTATAGTAATAGAAAAAATTTTGTAACATGCAAAGGAATTTGACCCTTTTGTTCTGAGCGATGATTTTTGCCCAAAATGCTCACTCAGTGTACAGCCTTACCCGTACTAGATACGGGATTGGCTCCAGCAAATGAAATGGAGTATTTCTTAATAGAAACTGAAATGGGTGGGTAGGGGAGGGTTATCTATGAAGGGGTACTCGGGAGGCGTGCTGAAAAGCCGTGATTTTTGACAATTTTTTACCCCCTCTAGAGTGTACAGCCTAATCCCGACTATTTATGGGGGTGGGTCTTAGAGATGAAATGTAAGGGGGTTAGAGTGGACTTGATTGGGGTGGGTGGGTTTTGTGTGGGAGGACCCCCCTTGCCGTAAAATGGGGGTTAACAATGTTGTAAAAATTGAACTTAATTGTTTTAAACCCCCTTACCGGTGGGCTAGGAGGCTCAAATTTTGATACAATGTGTACACCCATAGGGGGTATTTATGGCTTAATTGATAGCCTCCTAGTTTTAAACCGAAGGCGTAATTTATGGATTTTGGTTGAATTCTTGATAATACAATAAAGTGTTAGAAACCATATTTTATCTCTATTTGAACACGTTCCAGGAGGGTTAGGGGGCTAAAAATTTGTTGATTACTAACTACATATAATAAGGTTATTCGATCAAATTTTGGGCCCCCCTTTCCCTCTGGATCGCTTAGAATAATTTTTTATTCACAACATATACGCTTATATTAAAATTGAATATAATTTTTAAAAAAATACTTACCTAATGGCTAGATGGCTGAAAAGTTGATGCGATGTAGATATTTATGGTGGGTATTTATCATTAAATTTACGACTTTATATACTACACCATTCTCTATATTTAAGGGTTTATGTAAAAGTTTACATGAATTTCCATAGCGTTAAGAAATCTATGTTAGCCCTATTTTAATCTTTCCAGGAGGGGTAGGGCACGAAAATTTTGGTGATTAATAACTACATATAATAACATTAATTGATCAAATTTTGGGCCCCTCTCTCCCTCTGTATCGTCCATAATAATTTTTTATTTGTAACATATACCTTAATGTAAAAATTGAATTTAATTTTATAAAACCTTCTTACCGAGGGGTTACGTGGCCTAAAAGTTGATGCGATGTAGATATTAATAGTTGGTATTTATGGTTAAATTGATGATTTTATACAAGTCACCAAGCTCTATATTTAAGGGTTTATGTAAAAGTTTATATGTATTCTCATAGCGTTATGAAATTTATATTAAAGCTTATTTAATACGTTCCAGGAGGGGTAGGGGGCTAAAATTTTGCTAATTAATAACTACATATAATAAGTGTAATTGATCAAGATTTGGGCCCCCCTCTCCCTCTGGATCGTCCAGAATAATTTTGTGTTTCAAAATATAAACCCTTTCAAATAACTATCTTATAGGAAGGATAGGAGGTTAAAAATTTGGTAAATTATATAATTTAATAACACAACTAACATATAAAATTTTCAGCCAGCTAGCTCTTCTTTATCCCTAAAATATAGCATTATTTTATATTTTTAATATTTATATAAATTACATATTATGTGTGAATATTTACCCTTTGCATAGACTTAACGTTTAAGGTTTACGGCAACAGTTGACGTGAACATTTATAGTTAATTGCCGTAAAATCACATACCGGTATAATACTATGTATACCCAGTATTTCACCCTATATACGGTATGTATAGCCATAATTGCCTTCAAAATCATATACCGGTATAATACTATGTATACCCAGTATTTCACCCTATATACGGTATGTATAGCCATAATTGCCTTCAAAATCATATACCGGTATAATACTATATATTCCTAGTATTATCCACTATATACGGGATGTATAGCCACAATTGCCGTCAAAATCATATTTTTGTATATTGTGAGATATTCCCAGTATTTCACACTCTATACGGCATATTAGACCACAATTGCCGTCAAAATTAATTGTACGTAAAATCCTATATACACCGGACATTTCACACCCTATACGGTATGTTTCATCATAATTGCCAAGTTGGGGGTCCAAACGGGCAGAAAGCACAGCGATCTACCTATCGCGTAGGGTGTCGGGTCCGTTGGGTTATGTGTGAGTCGGTATCTCTTATCCCGTCGACATTTGTATGGTATTATCAGGGATCCAGTCGAGTAATGTATAAATGGGTATCTCTTGTCCCGTCGAGATTTGTGTAAGTTGTTGAAGTAATGCATATGTATTGTATTGGTTGGGTAATGTATAGCTTGCATAGTAAATAAGGTTACATTTTTTAAAATCATAAAATGTAATGTTAACTCTATAGGTGTTTTCTCATATTTGCAGGGATAATTTCTATGTTAAGGGTTACTTTTAGGTATAGGCAAGTGGGTGGATTTTTAGTCACAAATTATGTCTACTTTCGAACGAACCCGATATAGTCTCATTCGTAGGTTCCTAGGTGGCGCTACAATCGCAAACACATGTATACCCGTTTTTCCGGGAATCGGGACCGACCGGGGTCGGGACTTTGGGAATGAACTGGAAAGTCAAAGATGTACCCGGATACCAAATATCAACTTTGTAGGTCATCACAGTAGCCCACAATCATCGGCTGTTGGTCAAAAGTTTGAAGGCTTATATCTCAAAACGCGTTTTTTGGACTTGGAATTTTCAAAAGCATATATAGAACATAGATAGAGCAATGGCGCCAGCAAGTAACTTGTTTAGAAAAATTTACTTTAAATATTTGCCTCTGGGCCCACCTCGATCCCGTGACCCCAGGGGGCGCTGTAGTGAAAAACACATGGAAAATTTTAGAAAATTAAAATGGAGTTAGGGTGCCTATAATGTGCCTACATATGTTTACTTATGCCTCAAGAAGTTAGAACATTATAGCTATCCAGTGGGCCGAACGCCAGCCAACTTCCTGTTTTCCGAGAAATTTATTTTTAGAAATGTGTCAATTGTGCGCCACCTGGTGGACCAATCTCAATGCCGTTTTCACGTATGAACTTTAGATAATAATTTTAGCTCATCAGGTTCCGGAGATATGATTTTTTATTCAACTTTCAAACAGCGGCCATTTTGACCCCCGCCCACTAGGTAAATCGGGTTACTTCACTAGACATTCTTATTTTACTTTTTGGTCGGACACACGATTCTGATGCCAAAACTCGTCCTGGTACTTTTCCGGGTCGACCCCGAAACGATTTCTATAAGTGATAGGCAGATCGCTAATGCATTCTGCATTTTAGGTATATTTTTCAAATCTGGTCTCAAAAATGCTCCAGGTCACTTTGCCGCTCGACACCGAAACTATTTCTAGAGTATATTGGTCCGTCGCTCCACTCCTACCGGGGAACAAGTATGCGGTGCATGCCCGGTAGGAGCGCGCGCCGGACCAATAACCCTAGCAATCGTTTCGTTATAAAAGCAGAAATTGCAAACTCCTTAATAATTCTTATTTTACTTTTTGGTCGGACACACGATTCTGATGCCAAAACTCGTCCTGGTACTTTTCCGGGTCGACCCCGAAACGATTTCTATAAGTGATAGGCAGATCGCTAATGCATTCTGCCCGGGAATTACTCTGAATTACTGGGAATAACTATTTTTTGTTAAATATCTTATTTAAAAAATAAACATTTAAAGAGATAAAAATTATTGATATTTGAGTTTATTTTAGTAATTTTATTGAAATTTCATAAAGTTTTATATAAAAAATTTGATAAAATCTTAAACTTTACTTTTAAAATAAACTTCATTTAAATAAATGATTACAGTATTATTTAAATCAATAGTTTTCATCAAGCCTAAAGTTTTAAAAATAATTTCTAAATTTAATTATCAAAAGTAATCATTATTCAATAATTCAAACCCATTTACGTTATCTTTTCTTACTTTAAATTCAATTGATTATTAAATATTTAAAAAGTTCTCTAATTTCTAAAAAGATAAATCTTTTAAATTAGTTTTTATTGTATTACAAAAACATCAAATATTTAAACTCAAAATACTTTCTTTAATTGTTTTGACCAAAAATACGGAATTGTTAGTGAAAAACATTAAATGTTAAGTTTTACATTTTTCAAACATTAAATTTATAAATTATTATACAATATGTTTAATTTGTAATGAATAGAAAATGCCAACAAATAACAGCCACATAATGGGAAACCAGACAAACGTATTGTCGTTAATAATGTTGCAAATTTTTGCATTCATTATATTATGTAATTTGGGTTTCTTTATAACCGAGTCGTCGGCCGCACAAAAGTTTTACCCGAACGGAAGGTATGGCCGGAGATCTGTTTTGCCGCCACTCATGGGAGTCGACAATACCGACGATGCGATCACTTTTATAGGTAAGCCTTCCTATGTATTCATGCATTCACTAAATTTGTTAACTATATTCTCGTAATCCTTTACAATAACAACCACTTTATAGGCTTTTAGCGGTTATACAGTATTTTGTTTGTAAAGAATTTATATAGAATTTCGTATATAATCTTAATAATGATGTCGTAAACTATAGTTTGGTTTATTGGCCCCACAATTGTTAATAAGACACATCTGAGTAATTCAATTAACTAATTAATTCTAATTATACTGCCATTGATTTGCATTATATTCTTAGAAATTAAAGGTTATGAGTATTTGTTTCTCTCAATTCTTTAACAAAACTCCTAAACAATTCTTACGTTTCTTTTATTGAATCAAAAGGATGTTTGAAAACCTATTGACTCTTTATTCAAATAATTGCTTTATACACACCAATGAATTACTTTAATTCAATTCATAAACTATTTGTTTATATATTTATCATTTAAATTGAATAATCATTACTTAATAATATTATGACATTTCAATGAAGTGAACGTAAGGATGAATATGAATGCAATGAAAGAGTCGTTTAGTTTCACAACATTAAACTTTTTGCTCAATTGCTTCTCTAATCAAATAAATCTATTATCGAATGGAAAAGAAAAAACAATTTTATTTATTCCTTAAACTTAACATCAGTTCTCTTGTGTATAATCTGAACAACTTTTGTATAATAGTATCGAAAGTCTAATTTGAAACACGATTTCATGTTTAACTCGAGAGCCAGTCTTGAAATATTGATAATATTTTTATTATACTTAATTCGCTACTGAAAAAAATCTTACCATTAATTGTTAGCTTTTTCTTTATATCTGACAAAACATATTATAAGAGTCCTTAAAATTAATATATTTGTCGTTCCCTAAAGACACACATAACCAACGAATCTAAACTTATTATACATTGTATGATCAAAGCAGTCATTTAAACTTTTTATGCTTTTAATTCAAATTGTAATCAATAAAAAATGAAAGGGTTTCGAAATGTCATATTCATTATTACACAATATTTTCAATAGTCATAACTAATAACAATAAAAATAATAATTTTATAGGAAATATCGCCCCGAATAACAAGTTATCGAAACGGAATCAATTGACTGACCAGACAATGACATTACTCTGTTATTATACGGGAGTTTCCAATCTATTGAGATGTACCCTCAGGTATGTATCCATTTAATACAGTTTCTATTTTTTCTATTTTTCATATAATATCAAATAATATCATAACAATGAGTGAGAATATAGTTTTATTCTGTAATGGTTTGTTTTATTTTTGATTAATTTTTTTAATTAAATATTCTAACCATAATAGACAGTGTGAAGAGTTTTGTATAGACATATAAATTATATATTTTAAATACTATACTAACGGTGTTCAAAAAATACACTAGAGTACACCCAGCATAAAACCCTTGTGTTGTAATTTATAGACTATTCATATGTTAGTTACATATAGTGTACTCTAATTATTAGTCTAATATAATGAATACTTGAAAGAACTCCTTGGCAATTCAATAACCACGTCATGTTTATAGTATCCCCCGTTTCAACCTGAACGCTTTTATACTATACAGTTTTAGCCCCAGATTTTAAAACATCTACATAAAACTAAAAATATGTAAATTTCTATCACTTGCTTGTATAGTTAATATTGAGATAAGAAACGTAAAGCAAGAATAAGAATCTAGAAATGTTTCTATAATTTATTTATAAAATATAATTTATAATAATTTAATTAAAAGATAGCATATTATCGGGTAATTAATCAAATTAATTGAATCTCTTGAGTTTATGTAGTTTTAAAAGTCGTTATAAGTCAGAAATATAAAATATTTTTCAGCTAATTTTAAATAAATTCTATAATATATAAGAAATTATTTAATGTCACAAATTTTAATTACAAATCTATTATATGCACAACAATAGTGACCAACTATAGTGTAATAGTTATAGATATTAAAAATACTATTGTTAGTGTATAACAAGAATTTAATTCATGTCAAGCAACTGAGTATTAAACACACTGTATGCACTTTAATTATTATAATGCATATTTTTGCGAAAGATATTTTAAATGATCAAATAGTGTATCATATAGTTATGTGTATCATATTTTGTTAAATATCTTTATATTCTATGTAATAGATATTTGGTAAATGATTATTGACTAAATTCACAAATGAAAAAATAATATAAATATTTATAATCAATAAACATTTCCTTGCGATAACTGTAAATTTTAAAGAATATTATAAACGGTTGTTTATTCCATCATGAGCAATTTTACTTACAATAGCAATAGTGAAGCATTCTCTGTGTTATATTTTATAATAGAAATGTTTATACAGTATTCTACATATGATATGTAAATCTAATCTCAGTTTTTAAAAATGAATTATTAATGGTTTGCGAGTTTAACACAATTATTCTTGTAATTATTGTCACTACAGTATAACAAACAATAGTTATATGAATGGAAACAAAATGATAAACATTTGACATTTAACAATATTTTACTTTAAAAAACTTTGAAATTCGTTGTAAACGATAAGAATCTTAACAAGAATTTAGTGATGAATTGTTTATATATTTTTATACAAAATAATATTTCCATAAATACACGCATATATTAATTAACTGAAATTGAATCTAACATATAATGTGCTATTTTCAGAGATACCCCATCGGATGCTATGGAGAGAAATAATAACGAGAGTCAACAATAATCAGTAAACAAATTCACGTCTTGTGGACATAAAGAGTGAAAAGTTTTTTGTCTTATACTTTATTCTCATATACAATATATAAATTATATAATGTAATAGCTTTTTGCTCTTTTATTATATTATAAACAAACAATAAATATAACTTATGTTCTCTTTTCTTATTATCAATCAAAAAACAATAAGTTTACATTTAATTGGCTTTCATTGTGGAAATGCATTTACATTACAAACATTTAATACAAATTATAATTATTTAGATTTATTTGTATGAGTTTTTGTCAATCATTTAAATACTAAATGAAATATATTTAATACTTATTAAAAACGATGTTTTGTCCTTTACTTTTGATAATTAATAAATTATTCCAATAAGTGTTGAAATTTATGCATTTATATGATGTAATGTTTTATAGATAATGTCCTTGGTCAAATGGTTTTCCAAAATAGGGTCCTAACTGTGCACTTGTGCCTAAAGTTAGTATTATTTTCATTATTAATTTGCCAATTAATTGTCCGTACATTTTGGTTATATGAGTACATAATAGGAGAGATAGCAATATATTATAGATCCTCGTAATTGTCTCATAAATATAAAGATTACACAAAAAATTACACGAGAAGTGAAAACAATTTCACTGAATATGATTCTTATGAACTAAAAGATATACTAAAATATTAATTCATTAAATCGTTTCGACATTCAAACTAATAAAATGCATTCAAGTAATAAGTAAATTGAATTCAAATTATCGTTAATAATTAATAATCAATACATTGGCAAAAACTAAATCACTTTCTTAGATGTTATGAACTGATGCTACCATTCAGACCATTAAATATGCGTAATATGTAAACGATTTACTATTAATCAATATTCATTCATTTTAATGAATACCTAACACAACATATTTCTAATTATTCTTTGAGTAAACACTTAATATCGAAGCCTTCAATGAGTACTACAGCTCTAGAATCGATCATTTGATGGATGCTGTGCTCATTATTCGGTGTCATTTAATACAATGTCATTTTGTTGATTACTAAATACAACTGTATAACAAAAACTAATACCACACAAAATTTAATTACAAAATTTTAAATGGGATTAAGAAACTCGACACGAATCTCCTTCAAAAATGAATTTGAATTTAGCATTATTTCTATGGAAAACCATCTCGCTGAAAATTAAAGAGAATTCCGAAGCATTTTTAAACACATATTTTTAAGTTTTTATTAAATTTAGTTACTGCTGTCCAAAAAGGGGGAAACAAGTGGGGGAAAGCAAATTTAAGGCTGGTTTAGATAAACATATATTTGTTTATGTTAAATAATAATCACTTATTACTAATTGAAAAAAATGGTTTAATGTAAAGTACATTAAAATATTGAATCAAACATTACTTGTAATGTAAGTATGTTCTAAAGTTTTGTGATTAGAAATGAGATTTTGAGTTTTAATGTCTCATACATTGTTTGTAATGACACCCTCACACTTGCACTCTAATAGCCTGGGCTACTCTTTGGACAGCACCAAATTTAGTCGACTACATAATTGGTCAAGGTGCTGTCCTTTATAGATGTGCTATAGTATATTTAAAAATTTGCATTTAAATAAGAAAAATAGGCATTTTATAGTGAAAATTATATCTTAAAGTGGACTAAATTATTAAAAATTATAATTTTGTTTATTTACTTAACTAATTAAGAAAAATGTTGTTAAGATTTACATTAAAATGAAAATTATTACCAGATTTTCACAATAAATAAAGGTTTTTGGACAAAATATATTTTTGTTGTATCGAAACTCAATTAAATTATTAATTAAATTACTCAATATAAAAATTACATAAAACTTTTTTTTTAATGAAGATAGACGTATATATTGTGTAATCCTTCATATTAATGATGGTAGAATTAATAAATTAAAAAGTATATAACAAAATTGACATATTATAAGTACATATTTAAGTAAATATTTGACTACTTTTTAGTAAATATTATAAGTTATAATTTATAACTTATTTGACTTTTTATAAATACATATATTTCTAATTTTTAATAATCAGCAGAGTATTGAAGAATATGCAAACTCTTTAAATATGTGTAGAATAAGTCCAATAAAATGTACAAGAAAAAGGACAAAATATGCACTAAAATGTGCATTTATTTGTCGTCCAAATATTAATAAATAACATAATTTTGCAGTTAATTAATCAATTATAGAGTTAGTCAATAAAATATCGAATATTTAAGTATGAGTTTGAAGTTATGCCTAAATATGCGCTTAATTGAGCCATTGTTACAAATGCACAAACATTACAACAAATATTATTTTACTAGTTTTCAGTCAATTTACGCCAAAAATATGTTTTTAATATATTAATAAATCACTTTATGTGACTAAATTTACATTTTTAGTGTATTTTTAATTAGCTATTCAATAAACTTTCAATTAAAAGTCGAAACAATTTGTTTAAAAACGAATACATTTCTAAAAATTTGCCCAAATATGCCAAAAAGTCAGTTATAGCGGTAACCCATGAAATATACCTAAATGTAAATTACATTGTACAATATCCAATAAAACACGGCTAAAGTGATCACCAATACGTGAGAGGTGGACATCCGGACACTCGCACTGATACTATGTACCAAAAATATATGCAGATTTCAATGCACTGATAATCAGTCAATACAATAGCTAAATGTATCCGTATTTACACTATATGTATAGTTTGTAACTTTAGTTTCCCAATCCATTGTTTATCAATATTTAGTAATTTATCAAACATTCCTAACTATATGTTGAATAATAAATTATAAAATCGTTTTGTAAACGTTGTTCTACTAAATGGTGAAATCTACCACAAAAGTTACCAATCAATCGGCGAGATTAACCATAGTGACTAAATTACACAAATGTAAATCATTTAAACGCCGTTTGAGGTTCAATTCAATACATTTTAGACATAGATTAAAAACTGGTTTTTATTCGCACAAAATAATTATTTATTACAATTTATTTAAAAATCTTGCCCTGGTTAAACTTCTTGCCATCGAAGTCTCCCTCC